CTACCTCTCTGCTGGTAGTGAGCTGCTACTCGAGATTTTAGGGCCAGGTCTTGTTGGCGGATTATTGCTTCCAATTCTCGGTGCTCTTCCCGATGCCATGCTTATTCTCGGTAAACAATTTTAATACATAACTAGTACTAAATCGTTCTGATTTCTATCTCAATGTTGCCTCCTCTTTTGCTTCTCAGATATAAGATCTTAGTTCAAATTAACTTTTCATCTCGATCCGATGATTACGAAAAAGGATTCGAAATATAATTCTCAGTTATTTTTTCTTTTCTTTTGTTTCGATTCTACAGGGATTCTAAATAGAATCCTCCTATTCCTTGTTATTTTCTTCTTCGGAATTTTGAATTCTATTTATTTATTAATATTTGTCGAAATTCAACTCGATTTCTATTATCCTCTCTATTTGATTATGTTGTAAAACTTTTTGACGAACTTGCCAATTTGTCTCCGCATTATTACTGGTTCAGATTAAAAGTAGGCAAGTAGTCAGATCAATGTGTGGGGCTTTTCATCTCCAGATCCAGAATTACACTTTTGCTAGAATCCAATTCCTATTAAGGATTTTCTATTGATTAAGATCGGAAAAAAAAAAAAAAGATCGGCAAAGATATTTTGAGAGCAACGTTTAAGCATAAAAAAACCTCAAATTAAAGAAAAATCGTAGTTCAGAGTATATGCTTAAAACTTTCATTTTAAACAAAAAAAAAAACTCATAACCTAAAAACTAGGTTTTAGGTTTTATGTCATTTTACGCATTTAAAAAGCTTACTGCTACTTTTACCCCACACTTTTACTCAAACTTCCAGCTTCCACCTATTATTAGTTACAACATCAATAGATCTCTGAGAAGTAATTCCTAACATTTTATACATATGTATATGAGTGTATCTTACAATCTACTTCCTTCTTGTAGTATCTGGATTATCTGGAAGTGTTGAAGTTGCTCAAGATCAGGTGTCTGTAGGAATGGGTTTATTAGCTGGCTCAACAGTCATGCTTATCACTGTAATATGGGGCACATGCATCATTGTTGGGAAATGTGATATAGAAAACTCAGTTGCAGTAGATAACACAGATACTAAAGGCTTCAGCTTACTAGGTACTTTACAGTTTACACTTTACAGTTTACAGTTTACATCCCTCCTCTCATCAAACATTCCAAGAAGGGTAAATCAGTAATTTAACCACTGCAGGTTCTGGTGTAAGCACTGATATTTGGACAAGCTATTCTGGGATGATCATGGCTGTATCTGTCATCCCATTTATCGTTGTTCAATTCCCACAAATTCTGCATTCAGATTCTGGAAGACACTTGTCTGTTTTACTTGGTCTTATAGTCTCTGTTTCTCTTTTGATTGCATACTGTATTTATCAGGTAAGTAAATATTTATATTTTATACCACAATGCATTTCAAAATTTCAATTGTTAATGTCATTTCATTTGAGAATCTTTTTTTTTTTTTCAGGTTATGCAGCCTAAATTACAAAAAAGACGCCTTGCTTTTGCAAAACACAAGCATGTAAGATCTAGAATTCTTAAGTACTTAAAGATGCGTGCTCTTGGAAGACTCTTGACTGATCAAGGTGAACCTAACAAAGAAGTTCTAGAAAAGTAAGTTTTTAATTTTTATAACTTTTGTGTATTTCAGTGATTTAATAAACTTATACAAAAATGTATGAATATGACAGGCTATTTAAGTCGATTGATGTGAATGGAAATGACAAGCTTTCACATACTGAGTTAAGGGCATTGGTTGTGGGAATGAGATTACATGAAATAAATTTGAAAGAAGAAGACGCTGTTGATAGAGTTATGAAGGATTTTGATACTTCTCAGAACAATGAGATTGATTTCGATGAATTTACTGAAGGAATTGGAAAATGGCTTGAGGAGGCCAAGACTTCTAAAATAACTACTCCTATTGCTGGACCTGACACGTTGAAATACATTCATGACTACTATGAGGTAGGAATGGAATCTCCAATTCCAATTCCAATTCCAATTTAATGAAACAAAAACATCATGACATAAAAAAAAGTGAATTTTACAGGAGACGAAAAAGCAACATGATCTTCTAGGAGACGATGCGGGGGAAGATGAAGAGGAAGGGGTGGATGATCCACGTGGCACCACAATAAAAGCTGTTCTATTTTTAATATTGGGGACGATAATTGCAGCGTCTTTTGCGGATCCACTTGTGGGTGCAGTTGATGGGTTTTCAGCAGCAACGAGCATTCCTTCTTTCTTCATCTCCTTCATCGCGTTGCCATTAGCCACCAATTCCAGTGAAGCTGTCTCTGCGATCATCTTCGCCACCCGTAAAAAGAAAAGATCCGCCTCCCTCACATTCTCCGAGGTTCGTTTTTCTCTCTCTTTTTTCATGATTTAAATATTGAATTGAGTAAATTACATGAATGGTCCCTATGGTTTAGGATAATTTGCATGTTTGGTCCCTAACTTATTTTTTTAACTCAGAAGGTCCCTACTGTTTATTTTTGTTACGCGTTTCGTTATTGTCTTACCTAAAACGATTATTTTTCCTTTGATTTTTTAATTTATTTAAATAAACACACCCTTAACCCCACTCGTTTACCTAATCTTACCTATCCATCTATTTTCCTTATTTAAATAATAGTTTTAGGTAAGAAAGGGACAAAATGCATTACAAAAACAAACAGTAAGGACCAAATGCGTAACAAAAACAAACATTATGGACCAAATGCGTAACAAAAACAAACATTATGGACCTTCGGAGTTAAAAAAATAAGTTACCATAGGGACCATTCATGTAATTTACTCAATCTAAAATGAGTTTTGCGACCAAAATTGCAAAAATTAGTTATATAAAAAGTAGTCATTTTACTTTTATTTATTGATTTATTTTGCATCATATTACATTTTTGGTCCTTGGGGATAGTTGATTTTTCCGATTTTGGTCCCAAAAAGTTGTCTTGTGATTTTGGCACTTGTTTCAAGTGTTTGTGATTTTGGGACCAAAATGGCAAAAAATCAACTGACCAAAAGTAGCCATTTTACTCAAAACATGGAACAAAACCAACAAAAAAAGAAAATTAAACTTATTGGGACCAAATTTGCAAAAAACAACAGTACATAGGGACGAAAAATGTAATTTACTCTAAATGAAAGGATATCTTACTGTTTAACCTTTAATTTGTTTTACAGTTATATGGGGCAGTAACGATGAATAATATCCTGTGCCTATCGGTGTTTTTAGCACTTGTGTATGTTCGGGGATTAACATGGGATTTTTCGTCTGAAGTGCTTGTGATTCTCATTGTTTGCATTGTGATGGGCGTTTTCGGAAGTTTGCGTACAACTTTTCCTCTATGGACATCTTTCATTGCTTTCGCCCTCTATCCCTTCTCTCTTGTTTTGGTGTATGTTCTTGACTATGTCTTTGGGTGGTCATAGTCGTAGATTGAAATTTGAAGGGCGTTTTGGGAAAAAAAGAGTGTTTTGTATTTTCTATTGTTTAAAAAAATGAGATCTGTAGAAAAACTAGAAACTCATGAGAACCACAGTTTTACTGCTTTTGGTTATATCCGGATTTACCTGATTGGCATGCGATTTGCTTTTATCTTTTTGTAAACGAATACGAATGGATACCATGTGTAGTTGCGTAATGGATTGAATTATATGTAGCCATTTTGCACGTTTAATTTTTGGTTCCTTTAATGGGATAGTGAGGCTTGGCTTTACATCAATAATTAAGCTGTAAAACTATTTAATGTTTCAGACTTATAGTTAATATTTTTATTTATATTGAAAAGGCATTCATAATTGGATTTGCATAGCATAGATTCACCATTTGCAGCTTGAATTTACTTAATTAGGGAAATTGACTTGGAAAGTCCCTAAGGTAAGTACTTGAGCCCAAATGTATGGAGGATGGTCGCTTTTAAATCTTCTTATTTTTGATGATTTTGAGTTGGACGTTTTAAACTTTAGTTGTGAGTTTTTATTAAATATATTTTTTTAAATAAAATTAAATAATGTTGATTGATTAAAATTCCAAGTTGAGTTAAATTAAACTTTAAAGTAATTAAATTAAATTTTAATCAATAGATAGGCTGGAGTTAAATTCAAAAGCTAAAAGCTTTGAGCTTGAGAGTTGACTTTTCAACAATTACATCTAGTTCCTGAGTTTATTAAAAAAGAAGAAAAGAAGAGAAAAGAAAGTCATAAAAGAAAAAAAGAGAAATGAAATGAAAACAAAATTTTCTTTTTTGTGTTCTTGAGTTGGAGAGAAGTGAAGCACAAAATGAATCATTTTATTCTTTCTTTTCAAATCCTTCCAAATAGGAAGGAAAATTAGAAGGAAAAGTGATCATTCTATTTCCCTCCGCTTCCTTCCACTTTCTCCCTTTAATGAAACTTATGAACATCAATTTCTTTTATTTTTTCTCATTTCCACCTATTTCTTTTCATTTTTCTCGTTAAGTTGAACTTGGGAACGGGGTGTTAGAGTTTGGTATGAGTTTAGACCAAATCTATTTAACTGGATTTTTTGATTTAAATTGTAAGAAAATTGACATTTTAAGATGAATTTGAAGATATATGACAAAGAATGTTAATTAGAACACATAAGAATAGTATGTGAATAAAATACCCATTTATAAAGTAGAAAAATATGCAAAAAAAATTCCTTGAAATTTAGGCAATGTAATAGTCATTCTTTGATACTTTTTTTTTTCAGTTAAACCCGAAAAATCAGTAACAATTACAACCTTTATACCAGTTAATGCATGTTTTAAGAACAAACTGTAAATAAACTATCCTTATGGAAGTCAAAAACACTTTCAATGGGGGGACGTCTCACTCTATGTAAGGCGGTTCTTGGTAATCTACCTACATATTATTTCTCTCTGTTTGTTGCACCCTCTGGAGTCATAAATACTATGGGTAGAGGAAAATCAACTGGGTTTCTTGGCAAAAGGTGGTGTCTCCTAGAGTAACTGGTGGTCTGGGGATGGGTTCACTTAAAGCTTTGAATTTGGCACTAATCGGAAAATGGTGGTCGCGGTTGCGCAATGAGGGTACAAGTCTATGGAGGGAGTCTATTATGGGTATCCATAATCTCAAGAATAAAGCTGCTGACTGTATCTCAAAAAAGTCCATTCCGGGTGTTTGGAACAATATAGCAGGTGTAAAAAGCGAGTTCTTAAAAGTTGGAATCAATTTTGATGAAGTAATAAAAAAACAGGTGGGTAATGGTGACTGCACGTTGTTTTGGTTAGATAAATGGCTGGACAACGAAAATTTAAAGTCAATGTTCCCAGAATTGTACAAGCTAGAGAAAACTAAAAAGTGCAAAATAAGGGACAGGATAAACACCGGGGGAATAACATGAGAATGGAAATCGAGTCCATCCTCTAGTTCTCAAGCATGTGAATTTGCTGAATTGGCTCTCAAAGTGGAATCATTCCTACCAAACTCCCAACCAGACAGGTGGGTATGTAGCATCTCGGGGGATGGGGTTTACCATGTCAATGTGGTAAGGGAACTGATAGATACGGTGGGCTCGAGTAATGAAGGAGGGAATATCGATTGGATTCCAGAGGTCCCAACTAAGGTACGGTGTTTCATTTGGAGGGCGGTCTTAAATGGTATCCCAACTGCGTGTGCTCTCCAAAAGAGAGGAATCAACTTCAACTCAGTTATGTGCAGCTATTGTGATCTGGAAAGAGAAGATACTGATCATGCTTTGATCAAGTGCCCGATGGCAGCAAAGGTGTGGGAGGAGATGTTAAGGTGGTTTGGCATTCCTCATCCTTAATTTGGGAATATAAGTGACGTGGTGAGGTTCTGCTCTACATGGGGAAGATGCTTAAAGAAGAGGAGGAACCTAATTAGCATTTGCTATGGTACTGCATGGCTAATCTGGAGAGCAAGGTGCAATTTTGTCTTTAATAAGATTCGGGTATCACCCAACCAACTGGCAGGGAACATTCAATCCATGGTGTTTTCATGGATTAAACATAGGAGAGTTAATTGTTCTTATAAATGGATTGACTGGTGCTCTAGTCCTTCCTATTGTATGTAAATATTTCTTATCTGCAGTTTGTACTTTTGGCCTATAGTTTCTTGCTATTTTGGCCTCTTTTCTAATATATTATTTGCCGGTTCCAAAAAAAAAAAAAATAATCAATTCTGACTTTTTTTGTTGATAGGGTTAAATTTTAAGGATTTTTCTAAAATTTTTTAATAAGTATAAAATTAATTTGAAAAAACCTCATATTTATTTATTAAAAAACGCAAATGAAAGATACCACACACCCATTTCCCTAAAAAAACAAATTTTTATGTATTAAAAAACATAATGATAATATATATATATATATATATATATATATATATATATATCATTTTTGGGTTTGTTTTTGTGATTTCATTTCAATGAATATCAAAACTATATAAGATTTTTAGCATGTGTTTTTATAACCATTATAGCTCTTATAACGTTTGTGTAACTATTTAACCATGTTGACATATAAGTTATATGGTTTAAATCAACTTGAATTTAATTTGGTCACTTCTACAAAAATAAAAACTCATTCCATTGCTATTCTTTACAACTAAGTCACATCTTTTTTACACCTAAGACTTGGATATTTAGCATGTGGCTTAGAAACACGTTCCATATGACAAATCAACAAAGTTTTCTTATATTATGTATGATAACTACAATTGTAAAGATGTCCTTTATATCATATATAATTTAAGAGGACTTTGTTGATTTTATCGTATGGTGCACATTTCTAGGCCACATGCTATCTTTATTGTTAAATTTCTAGGTATTAGGTGTACAAAAAGTGACTTAAATGTAAAGAATAACAATGAAGAGAGTTTCCACTTTTTTAAAAGTGACCAAATTAAATTTAGAGTAAATTACACGAATGGTCCCTATGGTTTGGGGTAATTTGCATGTTTGGTCCCTAACTTATTTTTTTAACTCGGAAGGTCCCTATGGTTTGTTTTTGTTACGCGTTTGATCCCTACTGTTTATTTTTGTTACGCGTTTGGTCCCTATCTTATCTAAAAAGACTATTATTTAAAGAGGAAAAAATAATGGGGTAGGTGAGGTAATGTGAGGGGGTGGGATTAAGGGAGTGTTTATTTAAATGAATTAAAAAAATCAAGGGTATAATAGTCTTTTTAGGTAAGATAGGGACCAAACGCGTAACAAAAACAAATAGTAGGGACCTTCCGAGTTAAAAAAATAAGTTAGGGACCAAACATGCAAATTACCCCAAACCATAGGGACCATTCGTGTAATTTACTCTTAAATTTAAGTTGTTCTACAATAGTTATAAAAATATACGATAAATACAATTAATCGAACATTTGTTGATTTTTTGTAAAAAACACATTTCTAGGCTATATAGTATGTATAATGGAGCTCTATTTGGGAATAACAACCTTTAGTAAGCCTTTATCTTATGAAGTGTCGTTCGATTGTGAGAGACTTTTTGGTAGGCTTCAGTTTTATGGTAAAAGTTTTACACTTAAAACCTGGAAATTCAACAATGAAGTAGTATGTGGCTTAGAAATGTGTTTTTTGCAACAAATCTACAAAATCCTCTTAAGTTTTATAGGATATAATGGCATCTTTATGATTTTAAATATGATATTTGCTAAAGAGAATCACAAAAAAAACCCTAATATGATATATAAATTATCATCATTGTGTTTTTTAATAAATAAATATGATTTTTCTTCAAATTAATTTAGTATATATAAAAAGAAAAATAATGAGAAAAGTCCTTAAACTTTAATCTTATTAATGAAAAAGCTAGAGATGTCAACAAAGGCAAACGAAGTTCATGTTCGAACTACCTTATTTGGGCTAAACAAAGTTCATGTTTGGGCTGAAAAAAATTATTTTTGGGAATTTTGGTATGTAAAAATCATTCTATTGCTTTTAATATTTATATAATTAATATAGGTAAATGTATATAATTTATTATACGGGACCCCCATGAGAGTTTCGGGACGGGACTGTCAACCCCCACCCCCACCCCCAAAAATAAAACGGGGGTTTACCATGCCTCGCCCCCGCTCCCATCCCCGATGTTTTTCAACAAACACCTTTATACGGGACGGGGCCCCCATGGAATCGGGGTCCAATGAAACTCTTTGACATCCCTAGAAAAAGTCATACCCGATTGTCTATTTACAATTTGGCTCGGAAAAAACCGGCATTAACTGGGTAGAAGTCTTATTTTGCAAGTGTTTACTGATTTTTTAGGCTTAATTGCAAAAAAAGGAAGACTTTTGCGTTAATAGAGTTAAACTTTAGTGATTTTTTTTCCATATTTCCCTATGAAGACAATATAGCTTTTATGACATGTATCCAAATTTAAAATTTCATATGTACTTACCTCAAGAAGTTAGATCGTCTAACTTATATTTCTTCATCTTGTCTTCGTTCTTTGATTTCTTTCACTCCCCTTCAATTCCGATAGAATTGATACAATACATATATTTAGAACTTCATAAGTTCATTCTAATATTTAGTTCTCTTGTTTCAATATATTTTTCTAATCCTTGTCCTTTTATTTCATAAAAGTTTTACACCTAAGACCTGTGATATTGCTATATTTACACATATATTGGTGCATTATTTAACTACATTTTAGCTACATTTTGATTAATTATAAAGATATTTGGTGCTTATAAAGTATATATTCTATTTTGTAGTAAAAAAGGACATTATCAAGGAAAATGACCACAATTGGACAAAGTTGGAAACTTGGAGGTTGGAGCATGCATTAAGAGGGAAAGAAGAGAAGAAAGTGTGCATAAAGAGAACTGCACGTTGTGGCCACATACATGTCACGACGTGGCGAAATGTCTTGCATAAGAACCTTCCCGATGATCTGCACGAAGATTTGGGGCATACATATTAAAACTGTCTTTCACGTCGTGGCGAGCATTGTGCCACAACGTTGGGACTAATTTTTTGGAAACTATAAATACCGATTTTTAGGTCAAATCTAGAGAGATTTTAAGAGAGCTGCTAATTCCTGCGACTTAAAGACTAAAAACCTCGGAGAAACCCTTGGAAGGCCAAATTTTGATTGAAGAATAAGAATTAGAGAGATTAGAGTGAAGATTGTGACATCCCCAATTACACGGCCAGAAAAGACCGATTTGTTCATGCTTTATTTTTAAAATCAGAGTAATCGTTTAAAGAAAACTGTTGCGGAATTTGTTCCCCAAAACAAAAATACGATAACCATTTATCAAAACATTTCTCAAAGAGAATGTATTTTCATTAAATAATAAAACCTCGGGATGTCATGTTCGATACAGACCAAAAGTATAAACAATATAAAATAAACCTTACAACAGTTATTTATAACTACTAATCTATAATCCAAAATCTCTCGTCAAGTCCACCAACTTATACTTTTGTGTCATTATCTGTAATGCAAAGAGAACTGAGTGGGTCAGGCTTGAGAGCCTGGTGAGCATATAAGGTTTTCAACCCACAATAATTAATTTAATTTCATCAACCAATAATAACTCAATTACCCATTCCCGTTATTCTCACATTACGTCCCTAAGACAACTAACACAAGGGACCTAGTCTAAGAATATTTCATCGGGGCGACAACACATGCTTCGGGGGTTCCTCAGCAATATAAGTCAAATAAGGCAACCATGAGGGGGATGGAATACAATGAATGAACACCCAAGTTCATTAACACCTACATGTTATGAGCCTGTTAGCGTTCCACTGGACTGTCTAGAAAAGTCCGTGGTCGTCATCTAATTTCCGCTAGATGACTGGATTACAATGACATTGAGGCCTCTCATCTGTTTATCACACAACTATCTACCCATTCTCTACCTGACATATTAGTAGATAAAAATATATATTTTTTATACATAGTTTAAAACCTGTATAACATTCTCATTCAATACATATTCCAAAACAACAGATGAGACACATACACATAACACATATTTCATAGAGAATAAATCGTATCTATGAGATAGAAGAACGTGAATATACATCCACACATATAACACAAAATATACATATAACACGTATTTCGTATAAAATACTTCATAGTTATGCGTTAGAAGAAACTAACCACACACTCACTTGATCAGAAGATGATCGGACAACACTACGACTTGTAGAAGTAGTATTCTTCGGTAGATCTGGAAGATTTTCACAAAAATCGGCTTCTCGCAGGCAGAGCTTCGGCTCGGGAATCGCATTTATCGGGATCTTCGGGGCCTCGGGACTTGCTTCGAGGCTCGGGAATGATACCGGGGCTTCGGGATATTTCTTGCACGAAAAACGATGTAAAAACGCGAGAAAAGGGGAAGAAATGAGCAAAGAAGTCGGTTGCCCTCGACACCCTTTTATAGGGGCTGGAAGCCCATTTACGCTGGGCGTAAATCTACATTACGCTGGGCGTAATGGGGATAAGAACGCTGACTCCCCCCCTTGGATAATATCGGATATTTTTAATTAAATTTAAATACCGAAATTATTAAATAAACTTCAAAAATTCATATCTTCTTCATATGAACTCCGTTTTTGACGTTCTTTATATCCCTGTGTAGGTGAGACTACGCTCTACAACTTTCGTTTAGATTTCGTTGGCTAATTTTGACTTTATTTTTTATTATTTATTTTTTTAGTAGGCCGGGACAGGAAAACTTCGTTATAAATTCATAACTTCTTCATCCGACGTCCGTTTTTGCCTATCTTTTTATCGTTTTACTACTATTAATGAGACCTTCGATTCTCATTTAGATTGTTTCGGCTAAAAACCGCTCGATCTCAAATCGAGTATTCGAGCTGCATACTGCTAAGTCGAAACTTCGAAAAATCATAACTTCCTCATACGAAGTCAGATTTGGACGTTCTTTTTATGTACACTCACGGTTTAATGTATTCTACAACTTTCATTTAGATTGCTAAGGCTAAATATCACTCTAACGTAAATTCACTTTTTACGTCGCGCTGTGTCGTGCCGGTTTTGTCGCGAAACTTCGACAGGTCATAACTTCTTCGTTATAACTCGGATTTCGGCGTTCTTTATATGTACGGAATCCTTGTAACATATACTACAACGGCGTTCTTTATATGTACGGAATCCTTGTAACATATACTACAACTTAGTTAAGATTATTCATTCTAAATAATCTTCTATTAAAAAGTAATTTTTGATGCTTATCGTCTCTAAATTGACTAGCCCTGATCTATTTATTTACAAACATGGATCTCACTGGATCCTCTCCTCAACTTCTGATGCATATTATCTCTATTATTCTTAGCTTTGAGTTTGCTATGACGGATCTTGGAGATTTATTATTTTCTGGGTATATGTGATACTTGTAATGTTGATGGTCTTTTCATATCCCAACAAAATATGCTAATGAAATTCCTGATCGTGCATCTACGCTAAATTGCAAGTCGATATCCATTCCTGTTAATCTATGTGCCAAGTTTGACGCCTCTGATCCTCCTGTTTTGTATTATATCATAGTCTTACGGGTACTTTACAATACATAACCTTTACGAGACTCGACATCACTTATGTTGTTCTACAAGTTTGTCTTTATATGTATGATCCTCGATAGCCTCACTTCGCCGCTCTCAAGAGGATTCTTCGATATGTTCGGGGTATTACTGCCATGGTCTTCAACTTTACAGTTCTCCTAATCGAGATATCATTGCCTATTCTGACGTTGATTAGGCTGGTTGTTAGTGCTTGCCATTCCACATTTGGATATTGCGCCTTTTTAGGACACAACCTGTTATCTTGGTCCTCTAAACGTCATAACACTATTTCTCATTCTAGTGTCGAAGCAGAATACCGGTGAGTTGCTAATGTGGTTGTTCAGACTTATTGGATACAAAATTTTCTTCTCGAGCTACACTATTCTGCTCATCGATCTACCCTTGTGTATTGTGATAATGTCGGTGCGGTTTTTATGTCTTCAAATTTGATTCAACATCAACGCACGAAGCATACTGAGATTGATCTTCATTTTGTTCAAGACAAGGTTGCCACTGTCATGTTCGTGTTCTACATGTTCCCTCATCATCTCAATATGTTGACATCTTCACGAAGAGTCTTCACTCGCCTTTATTTCTGGATTTTCGGTCCAGTTTAAATGTCTGTCGTTTTACTCTCGTTCCAACTATGTTGGTTGTTAGTAGATCTTTTATGTATTTGTATATTCAGTTAGTATAGCTCATATGTTTTGTTTACAAAGGTTATCAGCCCATCTCATGTAATTTTTGTATATATGTTGATTAATGAAAGTCAAGTAATTCACGGGAAAATATTTCAATAACATATACCCCTTAGCCTTAGATTACATGAACAAACCAAACTCAAGTGATGCGACCTCTTGGGTCCGAACTTCTTATATGCGTCCTTGCTCGCAAGTTTCCCCATCGCAATGGACAAGTCACTAATAGCCTTCGAGATGTTACAAATTTGCCTCGAGTTCTCCTTGTTTTTTTCTTTTGTGTCCTATTTGACTTACGCTTTAAGAAATTGTTTAATTAACATGGAAGCTTTTTTTTTATATAATCCTTGGTTTATAATGAAATTATTATATGAACTCAAAATGTGATAAACTCTTGAATTACATTTGAATAAGTATAGAACACCAACGAATAAACGGGTCTAAAAACAAAGTTTTTTTTTTTTTGGTAAAAAATCATTTATACTTCAAAACGTAATAGTGTTTTTACAAGACCAATTATTGATTCCTACAATAAAGAATTACAATTAAAAGAATAATAACTACGAAAAATGACATTTGGATGAATGACTAAAACACAAAAAGCAACAAAAGATAAAAAAATCAAACTTCAATAAATAAATAAATAAAGGAAATCTTCTACAGCTTCAAACTGAGATCAACATGTTCACCTTCTTCACCATTGTTGTTTCCATGGTTCTTTGCTGCTGGAAAGAAACTATAAAATGGCTGCTCGTTTGACCTTTCACTTCCGGATACATCTTTTGTTTGACCCTAAGCAAAAAGTCAAACCATAAAGTCAACTCCAAAGTCAAACAAAATGGAAAACTGTTCAAAAAGAACTCACTTGATGCTGTGGTAAAGTTGATGATTGAATTTGAGGAGGAGCCAATGTGAGAAAATCTTTGGCAACTAAATTCGAACTCTTCTTCTCTCTGTGAAAGCATTCAAAAACATTAAAAAACAATGATAAGAGATTGAGGAGATGAAATTTGAATCAAAATGAAACGTTTTTTTGTTACCTGAATTCATTGCTGTAAGAAGAAGAGAAGGGGAATTTGAAGTTGAAAGAAGGAATTGGCATATTTTCCTTTGAAAAAGGGTATGGTCTCTTCATGCCGATCATCTGTTCATACCAAATGAACAACAAAAAAAAAATGTGTATCATGCTCATGAATAATTATGACCAATGTTCACTCTGCGTGTATTGATTTTGAGGATTGAAAATGGCGAATTCAGGATAACATGAACCTTCTCTTCATGTGGCTTCAATGGTGGGTAGTAGTTGTTGCTATAGTTGCTTTGGTTTGAAGGGAGCTCGATCTGAAAATTCATGACAGATGATGATAATGATGATGATGTTGTCGTTCTTAATAACTTGTAATGTTAATTGACAATATATAATACCATTAATGAAGAACATGGTTGCTGAAAAAGGTGTGATCTTTGTAAATCACTCCGATTTGTTGACATGCTCGGATTCAGATTCGGATTCTCCAGTACAAATCGGTAATCGCCACCAATCCATAATCTACCACCATTAATGATCGAATGCATTGGCTTAGAAACTAAAACAGGATTCGTCGCATCGGTAATTTGGATCAAACGGTGGTGGTGATTAGGCGGCAATGGAGGTGGTAAAGGAATCGACATCGACGGCGGCGGCGTGAAATTGTTTGAATTAGGAGCCAAAATAGCGATATCATTCTTCTGATGTTCTTCTGATATGATCTTCTCAAGCTGAGCAACTCCCATTCCTCTCTGTGGTACTTTCTTATTCTTCAGCTTTTTCGACAATCTACCATTGCTACACATCGAAGTATGTTCTTCATGAGCCATTGAACACAGCCATGTAAATCACATTGAATTTTACGTATTTATATGGAGACAGAAGTTAAATTGGAGAAGAGATTCAGTTCAACAGATACGATCGAAGGTCCACGTAATCTAGACGATGGAAATCTATCAAAATTTTAAGAATATAGATATAGAGAATCTGAAACGTTCGTGTAATTGCATAGATCATACAAGATCTACATAACTTAAATAGAATGTAAATTGAGAAGAAATCCACAAAATTGAAAGCTAACTTTCTGAAAATCAGCTGGTGCCAGCTTTGAGCTGTCCGATAGTCGGATCAAATCAAGCAAAAAAACAAGGCATCTGTATCGGCGAAATCTGCATCAAATTCGAAATTCAAAATCTAAAGTTGCTTTTGTTACCCGGAATCAAATTTGTCGCCAATATCCTCGCTCAACAACTGTTTTCATTGCTAGACCAGCTCTTCCATATCTTTCTCTCTCACACACACAATTCCACACGAAAACAATCATTCCTCGATCGTCTATGTCTATAGTTTTCATTCTTCCAAAATGACGTTCAAAATTCACCAACAATTGGAATAATAGTTTTGTGAGTAAATTACAGTTTTGGTCTTGTGGTTTACATTCATCTTCGGTTTTAGTCCAATTTTCGAATTTTCGTCATTATGTTAATCGGGTTTCAGGTTAATCGGGTCGGTTAGTCGGGTTTTTTATTTTTAAAAATTGACCCTAAACCCGACCCTATTAAGGTTCGGGTTAGTCGGGTCTCGGGTTACGGGTTAATCACATTAAATATGAAATAAAATAATCATTGTTCATTTTAGCAAATAACTTATAGGTATAGCCGTATAGGGATCGAAAGTGTAGAGTAGTAAAAAGTTAGCTTTGTAGTTTGTACAGTACATTTACAAAATGGTTGAATACTTGGATCGACTTAAATTACATTTGGTCAATTTTGCATGGTTTCTGTTAACAGTGGCTTTTGACAAATATGTTCAAATAAAAATTCATTGCTTTAAGCCTTTAACTTGTAATTAGTTATTTTGTGGACATTTTTGACACAATAAAAGGCCCTATAATTACGACATGGTAAAATTTTTAATATCAAATACTTATTCAAACACTCCCAAAAGTTTAATATTTTAACGACAAAATAAAATGAGTTTGAAGTCAAATGTTTACATCCAAAATAAGTATATTAATTGTCAAAACAATCTTCCATTCTTTTTAATCTTCTATCATTAAGCTATAAACTTGCAACTTCTTGTTCACTCAAAGCCACATAAATAAAAATAACTAGTAGGATATAATATAAGTAAATTTGGAGAAAAAAAATCTTAAACGGGTTAAGCTAAATTATGTAAACCCGAAACCTAACACTATATATATATATATATATATATATATATATATATATATATATATATATATATATATATATATATATATATATATATATATATATATATATATAATATGTGGCTGGTATGTATGTAATATTAGGTATAGAACCATCTAAATTAACTTCATTTTGATTAAAAACACAATTTTCTTTCATTGTTAGCTTATTCCTATTGATTTTGAACTCATATTATTTTTAGGGTTTTGCTATAAATGCCCTCAATTTTACTCAAAATAGTTGGTTATCTGTAACGACCCAAAAATCAAGGGTAAAAGTTTCATTTTTAATATAACTAAAACATTGGTACCATTTATTTCAAACATTTCAAATCATCATTAAGTAAAACATTTATCAGAGTTCATCTCAAAATCATTCATTGTGGAAATCATAGGTGTGTGTGCATTGCAATCAATCTGAGACCTTCTTTTCCAAATCAATGATACCTGAAATCAAAACTGTAAACCATAAGCACAAAGCTTAGTGAGTTTCGCAGATCATACCCCACACAAAATCCACACAACACGTCTCATATCAGCTATAAAAGTTATCTCTACCACATGCCACATATCATATTAGCTATACAAGCTATCTCTACCACATACCACATATCATATTAGCTATACAAGTTATCTCTACCCCATACCATATATCATATTAGCTATAAAAGTTATCTCTACCACATATAAGGATGTCGTGGGCTCCTCCCAAGGTCCTACTCCAGGATGACATAGGCTCCCCCACATGGTCTTACACCTAAGTACCACGGGCTCTCACCATGGTCTTGAGCTGGAAAACCATGGGCTCCCCCACATGGTCTCACATCCAAGTGTCATGGGCTCCTACAATGGTCTTTCATGCAAGTATCACAAAGACAATTAGCATATCACACATCACATAAACAACTAATATACCACATATCACATAAACAATGCCTATAAACATATAAGGATGTCATGGGCTCCTCCCAAGGTCTTACTCCAGGATGTCATGGGCTCCCCCACATAGTCTTACACCTAAGTGTCACAGGCTCCCCCATGGTATTTAGCTTAAAAGCCATGTGCTCCCCCACATGGTCTTACATCCGAGTGTCATGGGCTCCCCCATGGTCTTTACCTGAAAAGCTATGGGCTCCCTCACATGTTCTTACATCCAAGTATCATGGGCTCCCCCTATGGTCTTTCATGTAAATATCATAAAAACAAATAACATAGGATATATCATATAACCAACTGACATACCACACATCACTACATCAACTAGTGTACCACATAATGCAAAATGGGTTGGCCTTGGTATCTTTGACCCATTGGTATGGTGAGGAGACTCACCTCGCACTACTGAAGTCTCGCGGGTAAAACCCTAGCTATTGGTTGACAGGTTCCCGAACTGTCAACATCAAAACGACACCCAATTAATAATAAGGTTCCAATACGTAACTATAATTCTATGCTTGGGGTAAAATACTACTTTACCCATGACTTAGCATTATTCAAGTCCAAGGTGTAACGCCCATGTTTCTGGGCTTGTCATTAATAGCGATGTAAATGTCTAGGTTAACCTTTCTAACCCGTATTGAAATAATAAAGATGTATTATTTGAGTATTATGTGTTTTGTGCTTAGTTGTGTGACTTAATTAAATTAAGAATGAAAATAAGCATCAAAATAAAATGTTAGATAAAGCTAATATATATAGATAATGTTGTAGTAGTTTCGGAACTTGACATCCCGAGTCTTGATTTTATAATGAAAATACATTTCTTTATGAAATGTTTTGGTAAATATTATTTTATCATACTTTGTTTTTGGAAACATGTTCCGCAACTCTTTCAAATCAAAAGGATTTACTCTGAAATTATTTTAAAAACATAAATGAAATCGGTCTTTTCTGGCCGAGATTTTAGGGATGTCACAGTTGGTATCAGAGCATTAGTTTAAGCGAACTAGAAATTTGTAGGGTTTCTAGATTTAAACTTAGAATGCTAAGTGGAAATTGTGAGATGTGTGTATGTTATATTATAGACACGAGCACTAGTTTATTTTAGGAAAGTTGCCTAAAATGCTTTTATGTGCTAAATGTTATATGTTGCCATATATGATATTATTTGTTCGGATCTATGGTCTGTTGCCGACCGGATCTGTAAACCTTATGTGTGTAGGATTCTAAGCGTACGTCTATGGTATTAGAACTAACATGTAAACGTTTTGGAGTGACAAGGATGATTTAGTTATCTATCATGGATGTGGATCTAATTTCACTTTATTCGATGTATAGATCAAAAATGGTGAGAACAAGGAGTAATGAAAACAGGAATCAACCACCGGTGATTGAGAAAATACCTATCGTAGCAGCAACACCTGAGCCAATAACAATGGCCAGAGTGCAATTAATGATTCAGACGATGTTGGATCGTAAGATGGAGGAAACTAGACGTCTGCTTAGGCAGAATCACGAAAAATTGTCAATTCACGTTAAAGAGCCCGAAGTAAATGGAGGGCAGTCTGAAGGAGGAAACTTTAGTGGTATCATTGGTCAAGACGACCCACCGATTGTTAGACAGAATAACCAGGATAGAGGAAATGATGTGCGTGGGTGCAAGTATAAGGATTTCATGGCATCCAAACCACCATGTATATCCGGAAGCCCGGCGCCAGTGGAAGTGATTAATTGGATCTCCGAAATTGAGACTATGTTTGAAAGTTGCAAGTGCAACAACTGACAGAAGACCGCTCTTGCGATTCCACTGTTAAAATCTAGGGTATTAAGCTGGTGGAAGTTACTAGCTGACTCGATGCCCAAGGGAGAAGCTAGCAAGATGTCTTAAGAGGACTTTGTGGAACAGCTGAAATTACAATACTGCTCAGAGCAGGTCCTTCTGGAAATCAATAACGATTTTCAGAATTTGAAGAAGGGAAAGATGAGCGTTATTGAATACGCTGCAAGTTTCACAGAGAAGATGAAACTTGTTCCGTACCTAGTTCCAACTCAACTAGCAAAGGTCAACAAATTTGCTCGCGGTTTACCAGCGGACTTTGGTCCAATGGTTAAGCAAGCAACAACCTTGAAAGCTGCCATCTGGGCTGCTAGGAATATTGAGACCCAGATCAGGGAGAAAGGTCTGGAGAGGTTAGAGGTTGGTGAAAAGAGGAAGTTCGATGGACCTTTAGGGTCCAACAAGAAAAACAAGTTCTCAAAGTCAGGTTCGAGGGGAGGTGGAGGCGAAGCCAAATGGTGTGACAAATGTAAGAAGAAGCATCATGGGAAATGTGAAGCGGTAGCCACATGTTTTAAATGTGGAAAACCAGGGCACTATGCCAACGAATGCACCCTCACCAAGAAATTCTGCTATGGTTGCGGTGAGGAGGGGCACATCTTGAGAGATTATCCGAAGAAGAAGGAGGCAGCAAAACCCAACATTCCGCCAAAGCCGAAGGCGAGAGCCTTCCAGATGATGCTGGAAGCTGCTAAAGATGAAGCTGATGTTGCTTCAGGTACCTTTCTCGTAAACAAATTGTCTGCCCAAATTTTATTTGATTCTGGAGCCAACTACTCCTTTATATCGCATGAATTTGGTAGAAAACTAGCTTTGCCTGTTGATAGACTAGATAATGCTTTATTAGTCGAAGTTACTAGTGGAAAGTTTATACCTATTAGCCATCGTATGAAAAACATCTTAATTGATTTGAGTGGGAATAAGTTTCACGAGGAATTATTGTCTATCGAACTTAACGGTTTCGACATCGTGCTTGGAATGGATTGGCTTAGCGCCAATGACGCCGAGATATTGTGCAAGAAGAAGATAGTCAAAGTAAACCCGCCAGAGAAAGAGTCATTTATGGTGTATGGGGACAAACGCAGAGTTAATTCTTGAATCATTTCTCTAATGAAAGCCAGAAAGTGCTGGCTAAAGGATGTACATCGTGTCTAACATTCGTGATCAATGCTAAGAAGGAGAAAAAGGAGATGCGGAGCATTCCTGTCGTATGTGATTATCCAGAAGTATTTCCCGAAGATCTTCCCATATTACCACCTGATAGACAAGTGGAGTTTAGAATATACTTGTTACCAGGGATGAGGCCAATAGCAAAAGCACCTTACCGATTAGCACCGATGGAGATGAAGGAACTGATGATGCAACTTCAGGAGTTATTGGATAAAGGTTTCATTAGACCTAGTTCATCACCCTAGGGAGCTCCGATGTTATTCATAAAGAAGAAAGATGGAAGCA